AAGGAACTGCTTTGTAAACATTTGCTGTGCACACAGTTAGCTGGCCTTTGGTTCAGCAACTGGTGTGGCCACAATGGACCCGTTTTCTCTATAGCCATTATCTTTCGTCAGCGAGAAGAGTAATCCCACACACTCTGCTGCAGCCTCCTCTTGATCACTTCTGCCAGCAGCAATGCCCAGTCGTTTGCCTGCATGGACTCTTTGCATGGGTATGCAGTCTCCTGGATAGTCCATCACTGTTGCTTTGCATACGAGCGGATTCCATGTCACGTGTTCCCTGATGGATGGCATGGAAAGGATAGTACCTAAAATATTCAGTCCGAGAGATCCTTTTGTTTATTTTGGCATGGCTTTTCGACCTTTGTTTTTATTGTGGAATCTTGTGGGCAGCATGGAAAGACGCTACAACCTTCCACGTGGGCTCATGAGATTGGTACTCATCTGTGATTTTTTTTTATATAGCTCATCGGATTCCTCCCGTGTGCATGCATATTCATTTTCCTTTTAGGCTCTATCTCTGCTATGAAGAAGCACCAATTACCGAAACATCTGCTAATATGTGTATATTTTTCTGTTTTAAGGCAGTGGTTTTGGCGAATGTGTTGGTTTTTTTATTGTGCAGCACCGTTTACCAATCCAGTCTAAATATATAATGTGTTTAAATTGTCAGCATAAGGCGAATGTGTAACAAGGCTTTTGTTTTTGTGGTTACTCACTGCAAAATAATTTGACCAGCTTTTCCCAAAATTCATCAAGATTACTAAACATAACTGGACACATTTTATGACAGAAAAACATGCATGATGCTCCTGTTATCATCCAAATAATTTAAAAATAAATAATGTGGTGCGTAAAGTCCAGACTAGCACTCAACAAACTGAAGAATGTGACAATTGGTTAGCTTCACAGTTGACTCGGATTTTTTTTCTTTAGAAATGTGTTACAGAGTTTATGGCTTTAGATTTCGAACTATTAAGAATGTTCTAGAACATGATCATCAACTTAAGCATGAAGGACTTCTCGTGCTTAGGTTTTCCCAGTTGTAGTTCTGTAGTTCTCAAATTTGTTTTCAGGTTGTACCACGTGTTCGTATGTATGAATGTTGAACTTCTTTCGCACCGTACATAACAAACCGCGCTAATCGGAGGTGCGGGGGAAGGATAACAACCTTAACACAAAAAGCAGTTTTCCAGAAATTAGTTTTCAATCTATGATGTCCAACATTTCGCTCGTCAGCTCCCAGCGCTGTATGTATGTATGTTGAACTTCTTTCGCACCGTATGTAGCCAACCGTGCCAATTGGAGTTGAACCTTCAGACATCATACCGAACAATACTGGGTACAACCCAAAGCACGTTGGAAAGCTACTGTAGGCATTCCTTTGGGGAGAATATGGTGAGTGGGTTTGTGGAGCTGTGTTGATGTTCATTCTGAAGTTGGGGATAGTGAAGGGGAGGGAGAAGCAGGCAGAATTCAAGGTTAGAGAGATATTTCGGCAGCTGCACCCAAATGAAAGACGCTCCTTAGTCTGTACAGTGCCGGCAATGGCATCTCTTCATGCTTGTTCCGGACGCTGCTGCTGCCCTTAAAATTAACAGCCACGTGTATTTCAGTCCACAAATGAGTCGCCGGAAAATGTGGAAGATTGATCTGCCTGGTGGGAGATTATGCACTGTCGTTTAATTTACAGAGTTGTCTGTAATAAAATTGCATATCTTAAAGATGCAGTAACTGGGATGACATTTTAGTAGTATTTTAATGAGGTCAAAACTAATCACAAATAGAGATCGGGTAATGGGCTAAATCATAAATTGACAAATTCATGTGATAATTTTGTTGCCAAAAAAATTTCAATTAAGTCCAATGACTTAATTTCAAGAGAGCTTTGCATTAGGCTGATCGGTTCGTTCCTTGATTGAGTCGTGTTGGTTGAGTAATCTTAATGCAATCGTTGGTTTAATGCACACAATGGGTATTCAAGGTAAATGCGAAGCCATTCGATTGCTTGCTGGCTGAGAGGCCTCCACTAGACCAGGGCAATCGGCAACCAAAATAACGAGAAGATACTTTTTTTTAAAATTGCTATTAAAAAACCCCTTAATATTTCAACATCAGCATTGCATGTGAATATGAGACGGTGATCCTTAATAAATAACGGTCACGAAGCAGTCCTTAGAGAGCCGCATGCGGCTCCGGAGCCAAAAGCTGCTGACCCCTGTGCTAGAAAGAGATCTGCAGAGTCCTTTGAGAGTGTACGCTGGCCTACGATTTCACACTGGGGCAGGAGTCTGGGAATACCCACACTTTACACTACCACACTCTATCTAAACTGCGGGACCCCGTTAAACGCAAAAAACAAAAACGATACTGAACACAATCTCATTATGCGAGCGGTGTTTGGAAAATTACGCATTAGCAGAACGCCGTCATGCATCCCTATGGGGGCGACGCGGTGGTGAGATGTTAACTCCCTCGCCTGGTATGCAGGAGGTCGAGGGTTCGATCCCGACCCTAACAACACCTGTATATTTAGAGCGTGCAAGTCTCTCTCTCCCCGTGGTCACGTGGATTTTTCTCCGGATCCTCCGCATTGAGAAACACGCGTTTAGAGTATTTGGCTGCTGTAAATGTCCACGTGATAAGCCACTTTGTTGAGCTATCGTTTGTGGCCAGGTCGCTTCTTGAAAAGAGCTACATAGCTCAGTAGGCATCACCTGGTAAAATAAATATTAAGTTTTGTTTCGGTTACATATTTATTTGTTGAGTCCATCAGAGAGGTCGTGTCCACCCTGATTAGGGCAGACCCTGTGGATGCACACGCACAATGGAATAATCGTGGCACACCCCAGGGAAGAAGCCAAATGGTGGGGAATGATTGCACGAGAAAGCCACAGTTAAGGCTGACAAAAATGACTCGTCAATGTTATCTAGGAATGCAGACATCAGACACCAGACTTCCTACGACTGCTGTTTTTTTGTGCATAACGATCGTCTGTTTCGCATTGTGCATACATGTTGCCATTGTGGTCTTCGCGAGAGATAGGGGACCGCTCGCGTTCGTTAAATTTTCCAGTCGCCCGATGAACGACAGAGATATCCAACTCCTGTGTGCTCCATTTGATTCTCGTTTAATATTTAGCAGAGCCTACCCCTATTTATAGCAGCAAATTCCTTATTTTTTGGTCAGTAAGTCCTGAAATGGAGCTTAATTATAATTTAAAATTATGTAAACTTATTCACACATTTTACTGAGTGTTTTCAGCTAAAATAACTAAAAAGAAAAGTTTTCCCTCGAAAATTGTTCCATGTATTGCCAGTTAAAACATTAACATTGTGGGGGTATTTACACGTTTTCTCGATTTTTCTCAGCTATTTTTTTCATCTTTTACCATGCAATCGTTTGTTTTTTCAGTGGAGAGACAATAAAACATTGTCGGAGGAAAAAAAACATTAAAACAATATCCAGATTAACAGATTAAAACATTATTTCTTTGCCTGTAAAGGCTCTTAGAAGTGACAAACAAGGCGCACCCAGCAACTGGAGTTCTATGAACATGTGTTTTCTATGAACAAGTGTTTTTTTCCATCAGATTCACTGGAGACTACTCAAGTTTATTTTGTTTGCTTAAAGGAAATGGGCGGGCCCTTATGCCTGTTGCACAAACATATTTTCTGTGTTTAGAACAAAGACATAAAATGTATAAAGTATTGGTCAATTATTCCTTTTAAATGAGCATCTTGTAAATTTAAAAGGGATGGTCCCTGGTATTACGCCTTTACAGAAACACAAATATCACATTGGGACATGCGACAATTTCCCACGTGAATTCGTAAATATGTATTATTAGTCGAACAATGTTTTAATCTTGAACATTAAATACAACATGTAAACATCACGAAGAGCAATGGAATGACAAGAAACATTGTAATGGAAACCAAACTGTCTACAGAATAAAGTACCAGACTTAATCAGTTTTTCAGTTTCATTTATTTGGTATAGCCCTGTGAGCCATTCGGTTCTTGAATCGGGTGCAACTGCAACAAACAAAAAACAAAAACATGAACAAGAAAACATCTTAAAGTGACTATGCGCAAACAAAAAAATCCAGGAAAAAACAGCAAAAATCTTCCACAAAAAGCACCGTACACCAACGCTGTGTGCAAAAATCCCAATACATACAAATACATACTGTTGTCAAAATCGCAAGCGTAAATACATAGAAGAAACCTAATACCGGTAATACATAACAGTTAACATCGGTAGAAATGTAATCAATACAAAATTACAAATAGCCTATGAACAAAAAACAAGAATGTGTCCAATCCCATCAGAACTCTGAATCTAAGCAGGCTTGAGCCTGGATAGTGTTTGGGCGACCACTATTGTATGATGAACACGTGCAGTAGTAGAGGGCAGTGTAGCCACATCCAATGCGGTTCAGCACACACCCTCCACCTTCACCAACCCGCACTGACCAGCGTGGTGAAGTATGGTCACATAACCCTCACAGCCTGCACGGTGTGGGGAGGCTCTCATCCAGCAGTGGATTGACAGAATTGGCTGTACATGTACACGGACAAAATTACAGCAACAGAAATAAAACAGTGTCAGTACAGGCTGAAGTTTTTCCACACAGAATATGCATTTTGACACCAAAAGGCTTTCGCGACCAATATTATTCATAATTAAGGGCTTTTTTGGGGGGGGGTTAAATTGCGTAAATATAAATTTGTCGTGAACACGCAACCATCCGACACAGCCAATGAGTAAGGTTTGTCACGTAAACAAAACCTGCCGATTAGGGCGAATTGTCTCGACAAATTGCCCAGTGGTGCTGGATGTAATCATCGAATTGTAAATGTTGTGGATTTACTCTCCAACACACCGGTGGTGGGCTGAAGTAGTCACTAATTGGACGCGTTTTTCTGACGTGACAAACCTTACTAATTGGCTGCGTCGGGTGGTGGCGGGTTTAACGACACTTTTATATTTACGCAATCTAACCCCCCCCCCCCCCAAAAAAAAACCTTTTAGTAACAACGTGCAGTTAAAAGTAACAGCGCGGTTAACAAGCCAGCCAATCAATGCCCTCCCTTGCACCTCCTGTGCAGGGCGAGGGCCTTTTTTATTCAGCCTCGCGTGATTCACGGCGACGCATTTCAAGGCCCCGTCGCTTTACCCGCGCTAACGCCCGCTACGTCGGTGTACTTGTCACTGACACACGCCGCTCTCGTCTTCGCTGCTGTCTTTTGATGCAACAGTTACCGTTGATGGTTTGAGGGTGACGTGGATAAGTTTTGATGTTGATAAAGTGAAATCGCTTTTAAATGCGACGCGTGTGTACACATCATATGGTAATTATGACAGGAGAGATTAGACAGTCCAGTATTGTATTGAAAAACCAAGTTACAAGTTCAAGTGACTGCTTCCTTTAATTCCCTTCCTGAAAGCACGTGGACAACTGCACGTTAAAGGTGCAATTCTGAAATTGCGCTCTCGTGTCTCTGCTGGCGGAAGGGCCTCCCGCTAGAGTGGGCTATAGACAGCCGCTCTCGAGGGTGTTTGGCCTACTCTTCCATGCAGCATTACCAAAGTTAGGCCATATTTTTTTTCCATCTCCACCCCTCTGCCAAGTCTACCCCGTTGGCTGTATCTGAAATGGCGAGGAGGTGGCTGGCTTGCCTGAGACTCTGGTGGACCCTTTGGCCTGGTCTCGTTTTCTGTCATTCATTAACTCCTTCCTCTGGGACAATTTCAGGGTCAAGGACTTTCCCTCGGTGATCCGACGAGCCGTGAAATATGATCAGGAACCCGGAGCCTCCCACCCCCTGTGTTTACATCAGGCTTTCATGTCCAGATGGCACTGAATATAGACAACCATTTACACATCTCAAAGTAAAAATTCGAATAGCAACACTATTAACAGGAACCGTAAGTGGGCACATACAGTTGTACGACACACGCACGTACGTCTATTGAACTTCTTTTGCACCGTACGTAACTAAACCGTGATAATCGGAGGTGACCAAATTATAATCAAAATAATAATTGTATTGTTTAAAAGTTAATTATATTAAGTAGCATATTAGCATAATGAATTGGTGAGACTGGAGGAAGTGTTCAGGCTATTACGGTAAATCCCAGGGGTAAAAAACTAAAAATGGGAGCCCACGGGGTTTAAAGAACCACCAGCATTTGCATGTAGGTTTGGGTATGAAGTGTGGGCAGAGTGCGTGCAATGTAACAGGCAGTCATCAGGGGATTGGTGTCATGGTAGACTGCAGTGTGACCCAATTAAGGCTGTTTCTAACATTATTACAGTATAATTTTGTCAAGTTATAGTCATGCAAAATCTAACTAATCAAGAGTATTCATGCAATACTACAAAATGTCAGTTTATTTGTGTATACATCACGATAATACAAAATACGTGTATATTTTTAATTCGTTGCGCGTGTGTATATTTATACTTTCGTTACCATTTGGTTAAGAGCACAATACTGACACTCCCTTTGTGAAATAAAGTATGCGTGCGAGTTGTGTTGAGTTCAATCACGTTCACGAAGTCCACGCCACTTGCGGCTGCAGCACGCACGGCTGACCACGTTCCTTCTTATCACCCCTCACGTCAGTCTAGCCGCGACTTGCGCAGACGGAACCTGTCGATGCAAAGATGTAAAAAAAAACATGTTGTGGCGAAAGCCGCCTTCTAAAGCGTTCTCGAGACTGTGCAGGAAGACCCATCGCCGTGGGCCTGAGACATTATATAGGTGTGGTCATTGCTCCAATGTCAACATTTATTGTGTGGGAGAGGCGAAGAAGGGAAGGTGACGCTGGGAGGCGTGTGTGGGTGGCGGTGACTCAGCGCGCCATGCAGTTGGTGGACTTGGATCATTTTTCCCTTCGTTCCTAGGTGGTAGCGGCAATAAAAGTTCTTATTGGGCCACTCTCGTACCGCCCTTGGCAAAGGGTGGAGTCGATGGCTGTTTGAGAGCCGTGTTGGTTACTTAGGGGGCAATATTAGCAGAGCGGATTAGTTTATGAGCAATGCTCCGGATACGCGCGCGCGTGCTATAAAAACCGTTGGAATAGTCAAAATAGCGTGAAGGAATGCACAAAATAGTCATCGGACGGCGAGTTTAGACGCGGAGAGGCATAAACGTGAATTGAGACGAGATTCACGAGTCGAGGTTTTGCTGCTGGCAACAGCCGCTAAATGGCAGCAGCAGTGGTGAATTGTCTTCGCGGATTGATCGAAGGACTTGACAAAGAGCGCTGCAAAAGTAGGGCTCGGGGACAAATTCGCCAAACAAAAGTGCCGTGCAACAGGGTCACTGACAAAATAAAATGTTTTTTTTTTTGGGACACGGTTTGGGGGGGGGGGGTTTACTTGGGCAATTATCGTCAGGGGGTACAAATGTAGAGGATAGAACAGCGTGGAATGATTTTGGGGAACTGAACTTAGCAGTGGAAAGCGACGCATTCCATTGTTCATAAACAAGACCGTTTTAATCAGTACAGTATATACATTGATATGTTCTAGCAGGTCTATATATATCAAGGACAGTGACAAAGAAAATGGGAAAAATGTTGAAAAGTGCACCGTTGACCACGTGGAGACGCGTGGGATCTACACTCGCATAGGTCATGGAACAAACCCACAATGCGGGAATTATCATACAGATAATTATTCATGATAGTGAGCGATTCTCCTTTGAAAGTGAATTAAACGACACTTGATCATCAATTGTCCGGCGGTCCCGGACCGATCCGGCGAAACCGCTCCAAAGGCTGTGACGAGGTCCGGCTATTGTCAAACACCCATCGTGGTTGTGTTGAAACAAGAGCGTAGTCGTGGTGGTGGTGGTGTACTGCGTACATCGCCCCATGCAGAGTCTTCGACATTGGAGTGGTAAGCACGGCAGAGTAAATACGGTAACTTTTTTAATAGGATTTTTTTTTGTCTATTTGCACGTTTATTTATACCAAGTTCATATCGTTAACGCATTTAAAACGCACAAAAAACATGCACAATATCTAAACTTTATCTATGCAAGAATGTGCAATAATAAGCTATTTTAAGTAACGATAATGTAGTGATCATCCGACGACGATCCACTGTAATGTTATGCTTTACTGTCTTACCGAGTTAGACTACTGGATACTATTGTGTTCATGAAGGTAACAGAGACTTCACAAGTTAACGGACGATTTTTTTACGTTTCAATGTCAATAATAATAACAAACACTCAAAAAGCACCCACCCCGAAAGAGGCCATCCATTGAGTACGCACGCACGAGGTGGGAGGGGGGTTCACCCAGACGCGTACCCTTGCGTTTGGGGGGGCTACTGAATCTGTACGCATGGGAAACGGGGGGGGGAGGTGAAGCCTCGATAATGATTTGTCTACATTTGCCTTCAAATGAGTTAAGATATTCCGGCGGTGGACTATATGTTTGCTTGAACACGCTAATATTATTAAACCCGTATAATCCTTGATCGTTTCTGCGTGGATTAAATGGATGGCCCCTCAGCGCTTTCGCTTGGGCCGGGAGACGTCACTCGCTGTCGAGGATGGTGGCTTTGGTGTGGTCGAGACTCACGCCAGGAGGACGCAACCGCGTGTACGCGCACCGTGGAGGTGAAGCAACGAGGCATGGATTGTGTTCACCGTCGGATCGTAAACGATGGCAACTTCGTGGGGGTGGGGGGCGGAGGGGAGACCTTCGGCCAGCAGTGGATAGATCACGGCTGCTGATGACAGCCAGCAGTAACAATGACGTTAACGTCGCTTGTTGATTTTGAACGGTGTCTTGAGAGGCACGGCTGATTGCGGCCCGAACAGTGACGATCCTCTATCCCGCGCGTTCTCGAACATTGTTTAGTAACACACACACACACACGCGCGCGCAAGCCGCTGGCCTTGAGTGTAAACGCGGTGCTGGAATCTTTGCGCCGCCCGTGAGAATGGCTGTGGCGGACAAATGAGGGCCACGCTGTCCTCCTACCCCCAGTTCGTGTCAGGCGCTAGCCACCTGCTGCTGGGTGGATGGATCCTTCGCTCAGTTTCGCATTTCATTCTAGGCGGTGGGGGTGCGGTCAAACACGCAGCACACCGCGGCCAACATCTGAAAGAGGAATTTGCGAATGTCATTCACAATAACCGCATACCGTGAGTGCCGGATTAAGCGAGTGTGGGGCCTATAGCATTTGTTATAAAGGGGCCCAAAATAAAAAAAAACACACAAATATTAAAACACGCAATTTATTTACTTGCATAGTAAAGTAATTGTATTTTTTCATTTGCTATACAGCCGGATAATACGACAAATCGCTAAACACCCAGTCGTTCATAAAAGTTGAAGGCGGCACAGTACTATAGTAATAGATGTTCGGCCACCTGGAGCAATAATGCATCTTTACATCGTCTTGATTGAAAACGCATTGATGTAGAAACCGCTTTTTGCGTATAGTTTGTTGCCCGCTCCCCCCACACACACCGCAAACCTCCGATTGGAGCGGTTGGCTACGTACGGTGCGAAAGAAGTTCAACATACATACGTATTGTACAAGGGTAATGCTGCTTTGTCATGTCATGACTCAGTCGTGGCTGCTGAAAGACGACCAATTCTGCATTACGTTGTAATATTGCACCTTCCATTGGGGTAAGAGTGCCACCTGCTGACTAATGGACATGGTGTTAATGTTGGTTAACGTCCAGTGGGTTAACATTCAGCATGGAGTTAATGTTGGTTAACATCCAAATGGGTGATGCTGTCGTAATTTTGTTTAGTTTCTTTAACAAAAAAAGATAAACTCTTGCATGCGGTAAACCCAGTAAAGTGGGTTTGTTTCATATATACAGCACCACATTAAGTGGTATAACATGTTTATGTACAATAAAGGCACGCTATTATGTAATGCAATTTGTCCAATACACTTATTGTGATCATGATAAGAGACAATTATTAATTCGCCATTAATATGGGCCCTGCCATATTTGTACTTTTAAAATATTTACCCAATGCAGAACACCTGCGTATATATTTTTTTAATCGAACTTCATTATTCCAGTGCCAAATCACTTACATTTCAATTGTCGCTGTTAATAATTCTATTCCTGTGTGTGTGCCGCACCAATGACTGTGTATGTGTCCATATATATCCATATATAATTATAATATACAATTCTAACTCTATACCATGCAGTGGCTGGCTGACACTTGGTGCCAAACGTGGCAAGCAAAACGTCACCCTCGCTGGAGAAGAATCTTTGTTAACCGTCCACCAAATGAAACACAACCTGCCGATTCTCGTTCACGATTAAACCACCGCTTCATTCGTGTATTTTTCTTTTTTACAAACGTTAGTTTGTAGTAGGCAAGAGAATGCAGCGGCATTACACAATCAAGATCTCATGAATACCTCTCCCGCAGGCAGCTGCTGGGGATGTTGTCGATGCACAGCTAAGGCGGGGTTCCATTTTGAACACCAATTCCATTTGCTGCTCCTTTGGCCCTTAAATTGCATTCTTCATGGAATCTGAAAAAGAGGTTTTATACTATTTTTTTCTCAAACAATAACAACAACAACATACAAAGAGATACGACCGACCGGGTTGCAAGGTTGTTGTTGTTGTTGTTTTGAAGGCTGCGAAGTGAGCCCGCGGGTTGCACAATTAATCATTAAATGTGACGACGGAGAGGGGCACAGCGAACGCCGCGAGGAGGCACTGCGGACTCACGGCTCCACTTTGTTGAAGAACCTCCTGCGCACCAGATAAACGAGGGTGCTGATGACCACGATGGTTGTACACATGACGCGGGTTGCCTCCAAGTTGCAACAGCAGCAGTGGCGGCGGCAACACAGCAGTCGCCTCGCGTAGAGAACGCACAGCTCTCGTGCATACCCGCATCAACACGGCTCCTCATAATCCCGCTTAGTGTGCTGCTGCTGCTGCTGGTGCTGGTGTGTGTGGAGGGGCTATATTTAATGTCCTAAGCCGCTTCAACCGCAGCGACGTCGTTATGCGACTGCACGCGATTCAGACGGCGTTGTGTGATGTGACAACGCCGTGACAACACCGTGACAACACCGTGACAACACGCACGGGTTGGCACGTGTTCTTCTTGTGCAGGGACATTGCGTTTTCAGGTCCATGCGGCGTACAGCCGTTTCAATTTAGGCAAAAAAAAAGCAGAATTTTAGTCACATTGATTCGTCTGTTTGTGTTTCTCCCTTGTGATGGGACTTTGTTGGATGAACGTTGAGATTTATAAGGGCGCAGGGGTGACCAATACGGTGTGAATTGGTCTGCAGTAAGGTGGGGCACTGATAAGCGGTTGACGGGTTTGCTGTAGCGTTATTTTAATGGCTAACATGTTGGGCATATTACTCTTAAGTGCTCTTTTTGGAATGTTTTGTAAGCGTGAAACGGTAAAATCTGATTATGGCCGCTGCTTGCTGTAAGACTTTGTGAGAGTTGCTACCGACCACGATTTTGCCCTCGCCTGATCTAATCTCCCCTTGTTGCAGTATGCACACACACACACGTGTCTCACAACGGCGGGGCTGTATCATAGACGATCATTTGATTGCAATTTCTTGGTAGCCCGCCACCCTGGTCTGCCCATTGGGATAAGGGATGGTATCTCTAAAACGCGATGTCACTTATTACAGCAATGCTGATCGGTCTGTTTTTTTGCTAGATAGCGTTCCCCATTGAAGACGATACGTCTGACTTAAGAGTCGTTGAAACGGGCTTTCGTAGAATGATTGTCAAACACGTTGTGTTTGGATTTTTCTTGTAGTGTCATTCTTGCTGAAGTGTGCGATGTTTTACGTTTGATTTAAAGGAAGTTAACTTTTTCCGAACTTAACGATATTATAAATTGTCATCAGACATGGATTGACTGAAAGCTTTCGTGATAATTATACACAGAAAGACTCCTCTTATCTGTGACCCTAAAATCTGCGAGACTTCTATTCAAGGGAGCTGTAGGGTCCGCAAAAAGGCTCGCCCTCCCTAATCCTATTATCCGTGGGTTTTCCTGTCCTGCGTTGCTGGACGACTTCCTACTGCCCGCTATTTGTTGATGGACACGAGGAGTCGCACAGAATTTTCTGTTAGCCAAATTTTTCTGCGGAGAAGTGGAGCAAAATTTCACGAATAGTGGCATCTGCGATGGTTGTTCCCGTCCCGCATCATGGGGGATAACATGAATGAAACAACATTTTTTCAATGTCACGTAAAAACTGTTTTGTTGTTGAATAAAATATAAGCGGCGTGCAGACACTTTGTTTTTGCACAGCGAGTGTATCTTGCAACACGGATCCTGACCGCATGGCATTACAACACATGCATGAAGCAAGCTCACGATCCCGATATAAGGCTGGTGCGAATGGTCGCTCGGGACCGGTTTGCGAGCTCGCCCCCTGTAAGCCGCACACGCTCGCAATGGGTGCCCTGCAGGACTCGGGAATCGTGAGCAGTTTCAAGGAGGATGAAAAGGCCGCTCTTCGAGAATCTTGGGACATTTTTAACAATAGCCACCAAGATGCAGGGGTCAAAATTTTAGCGAGGTAGGATTCGAACAACAAGAGAAATGTGTTATGGCGACCGTTCACAAGCGGCAGTGGGTGGTACACTAAATGTGAAGCTCCTTGTACCGAGGATATCCTTGAACGTACATTGCTGGAGCGACGATTGGCATGCACCACGAAGAATGTGCCGTTTTAGTGAGGCTATGATTTTGGCACGGAGGTCACGGTGGTCACAGATTTATTGTTATTATTCCGCACCTCGGCCGTGACTTTTACTATAAAAATTACCGTGACAGAATTGTAGCATAAGCAATAATAGCACATTTGGCTTGACCATAAAAAAATTAGAATATAATGTTTAATGTCTTTAGTCAGTTTTACCTACCGTGTGTGCCAGCTGTATTATCTGGCTTGAGTGAATTTACGTCGAAAATTGTAAATATATGGTTTAATGTTATCCTTATATTATTCTTTTAAGTGACGTAGCAGTGCATGCTGTTCAGATGTACGTGCCTTTCTCTTTTCCATTTTTAAGGTTCATTATCAACAACCCCGAGGCGAAGAAATTCTTTCCCAAGTTTAAAGGCCTCAACACGGCCGAGGAATTGCAGAATTCAGCGGAGGTCCGCATCCATGGGGACAAGATCCTAGCGGCCGTGCAGCAAGCTGTGCTCGACTTGGACGATCCCGACAAGCAGAAGAACAAGCTGAAGGACCTGAGCAAATCCCACGCTCAGCAATTCAACGTAGAGCCCGCCTACTTCAAGGTTCGTTTGTCCGTTTCTCGGTCCCCTTGTCCTGGTGAGGGTCGTGGCAGCAGCGTGTCGAGTAGGGCGATCCACACCTCCCTTTAACTGGCGACAGACTCCAGCACTACTATACACTACACGATAGACTACTATAAACTACACTATTATACACTACTATACACATACTCTAGCTCTGCCTGGGGGGAATTCCCAGGCGTTTCTATGCCAGCCGAGTGACATCGTCCTGCCAGCGTGTCCTGGGCCGGCTCCGGGGTCTTGGCCCAGTGGGACGTGCTGCTGCTGCTACTGCTGCCCGGTAGAGTTCCAGGGGGAGTCTACCGGGGGGCATCCTTACCAGGTGCCCGAACCAGCTCAACTACTTGAATGTGAATAATAACAGCAATCTTGGCGTTTACATCGTCATTATCATCACTGTCCATTGGGCAGATAGCCCATAGGTGGTCCACTGCACATTTCGTCATGTTTCCACTTTCCTCTCTGTCTTGTGCCATGATGCTCACGTAGTGCCACGTGTTTCTGGCACCAATCTCTTGTGATGTAGTCGTCAAGACGTTCTGTGGTGCAGGTCTTCCTCTCATTCCGGTTCCTGCCATTTGTCCGAACAACACATTATTCATTTGCCTGTTGCTGTCTGTCCGTCCTTCTATAAATGTGTCCAGATAGTTCCAGTTTCCTACTCATCACTGCCTGCATCATCAGGTCTTCTCCTACGTGCAACCTTTTTATAACTTCTACTGGCATTTAGATGACACTTAAATGCCTCAGCAAATCATGGCACCTCACATCACAACTCATCTCGAATAGAATTCACAGGGCAGCCCGAGTGACGGCTGGTCCCTGTGCAGTCTGGTGCGACTCAGCACCCGCCTGCGATTAGGGCATTAGTCTGCCAGTAGAGGGCGAAGATTTGCAGCTGTGTGTTATAGAATAACACAGAGCCACATCCCAACATGATGAAACCTTCAAGTGATCATCACCATCGTTTTTGTTGTTGCTTTCATCATTCATCCAATATTTTAATAACATAACAAAGTGAGAGACCACTTGTATAACACTTTTATTTTGTAATGGACCCCCTGTTAGGAATCATATTCGAAGCCATTTGTCGCAAGGAGATTACGTCTGCAAGGAAACTGGGCTGTGTGTGCCTCCTTCATCAGCACATCATCTGCACGCAATTATAAATATGCATTGTTGCGCATGGGATCCGATCGGTGCATCGTGAGCGCTGACCGTCGCCGCGTGCCGTGCGAACACCCGCGTGGTCGTCTCGGACAGAAGATGATATTTATATTATATATTATTATAAAGATGATATTCCTCTCCATCAGATTCTATGCCTGCTCCAGCCACCGTCCCAACTCTCCTCGTATCTCGTTTCACCGCATCCTCCCCGTCTCACCCTCCGGTCTCTCTCGTCTCCTTCCGTCTATCGCCGGTGGAATCTCCTCTCTCTCTCTATCAACACGTGTCCAAAGTCCCGTAAGGATTGAAGAGACGGAAACAAACTTGAGTGGAAGCGATTTACATTTAAGCACGCTTAAGAAATATATAATCAAATAATATTTGAGACAGATGTGTATGAACAGCATTGCACAGCTTGCTGTCATGTGATGGCACACGAAATTTTGCCTTCTTTATCAGCGTGAAAAATGAACACACTGCATTTTTGCGATAAGCCTTTTTTATTGACATGCCATAAAGTTTGCAAATGACTGGCAGCTGAGCCAAGGACCTGCCTTCAAGATGAGGTCATGTATTTTGTTTTTGCAAGCCATGAAGACTTTTGTTTTGGAGCTTCGCTCCACGTGTGGGGACTTCCGTGGGGAAGGTAAAAGGGTTTCCAGAGCAAGATACCAATCAGCGACACTGACCTCGTGTCAACTACACCCGTGAGACACACTCGTGGGACCACTGGAATGTGTTGCATTGCTACTCTCCGTCATTTTGTTACCAAACCTGGAGATTTTGTTTGTTTTTTCGCAGTGTCCAGTAAAATAGAATTGTTGCGGGCGGGGGTAGGGGTGCTCTCACGGCTGTATTCTGTAGGCCCCCCGTGCTACTCCCGTTGTCGTTTTGTCACAATGTACCGCGAGGGTGTTGGGCGCCGTGCCAGCCATCTCACTCGGCTTCTCGTGAAACTCTCCAGCACGTGGAGCGAGCGGTAGGCGGCTGCAGGTAGGCTACTGTAGGTAGGCGACTGTAGGTAGGCGACTGTAGGTAGGCGACTGTAGGTAGGTGACTGTAGGTAGGCGACTGTAAGTAGGCGATTGTAGGTAGGTGACTGCAGGTAGGCGATTGTAGGTAGGTGACTGTAGTTGGTGACTGTAGTTGGTGACTGCAGGTAGGTGACTGCAGGTAGGTGACTGCAGGTAGGCTACTGTAGGTAGGTGACTGCAGGTAGGTGACTGTTGGTAGGCGACTGTAGGTAGGTTACTGTAGGTAGGTGACTGTAGGTAGGTGACTGTAGGTAGGTGACTGTTGGTAGGTGACTGTAGGTGACTGTAGGTAGGTGACTGTAGGTAGGTGACTGCAGGTAGGTGACTGCAGGTAGGTGACTGCAGGTAGGTGACTGTTGGTAGGTGACTGTAGGTAGGTGACTGTAGGTAGGTTACTGTAGGTAGGCTGCTGCAGGTAGGTGACTGCAGGTAGGTGACTGTTGGTAGGTGACTGTAGGTAGGTTACTGTAGGTAGGTGACTGTAGGTAGGTTACTGTAGGTAGGTGACTGTAGGTAGGTGACTGTAGGTAGGCGACTGCAGGTAGGTGACTGCAGGTAGGTGACTGCAGGTAGGTGACTGTAAGTAGGTGACTGTAGGTAGGTGACTGCAGGTAGGTGACTGCAGGTAGGTGACTGTAGGTAGGTGACTGCAGGTAGGTGACTGTAGGTAGGCGACTGCAGGTAGGTGACTGTAGGTAGGTGACTGTAGGTAGGCTGCTGCAGGTAGGTGACTGCAGGTAGGTGACTGCAGGTAGGTGACTGTAGGTAGGTGACTGCAGGTAGGTGACTGTAGGTAGGTGACTGCAGGTAGGTGACTGCAGGTAGGTGACTGTAGGTAGGCTACTGTAGGTAGGTGACTGTAGGTAGGCGACTGTAGGTAGGCGACTGCAGGTAGGTTACTGCAGGTAGGCTGCTGTAGGTAGGTGACCGCAGGTAGGTGACTGTAGGTAGGCGACTGTAGGTAGGTGACTGCAGGTAGGTGACTGTAGGTAGGTGACTGTAGGTAGGTGACTGCAGGTTGGCTACTGCAGGTAGGTGACTGTAGGTAGGTGACTGTAGGTAGGTGACTGTAGGTAGGTTACTGCAGGTAGGTGACTGTAGGTAGGTGACTGTAGGTAGGTGACTGCAGGTAGGCTGCTGCAGGTAGGTGACTGCAGGTAGGTGACTGTAGGTAGGCTACTGTAGGTAGGTGACTGCAGGTAGGTGACTGTAGGTAGGTGACTGCCGGTAGGCTGCTGCAGGTAGGCTACTGTAGGTAGGTGACTGCAGGTAGGTGACTGTAGGTAGGTGACTGTAGGTAGGTGACTGCAGGTAGGCTACTGTAGGTAGGTGACTGCAGGTAGGTGACTGCAGGTAGGTGACCGCACGCCCCAGCAACCCGCAGTGCGACAAAAGCACACGCAGAGAGCCATGGTGGGAGCCGTCTCTTCGCTGCCATTGCTCGACGTTAGGTAGGGCCACGTGTGCGCGGTCTTTTTTAATTGAATAAAATAGGAATTGGCACACCAGAAGTCAATTTAAAGACGTTGTTAAACAAGCAGCAGAGTTTAAACGTATTTTTTTCATTTTGCCTTTACATTTTGCTTAAGAACATGCTAATTTTGATTTAAAGCTTTCGTGACTGCAAGGATTCATATTCTTGGTTCTTTCGGTAAAGTCACGTTGAAGGGAAACAATTAAATAAAAATATAAAACAATAAAATTCTCACGTTTCGACTGCAACACAAGCAATCATCACCAGGTGTGAAAACCAAAGCAAGAAAATGTGACTTTAACATGCTAATTAATGTATTTGTATGATCGTGGTAATTTTTCAATGTAAATAAACCCCCAAGACAAAGCCATGTGGCACTTAACTTTGTAAAGTGAGACGTTATTTTGGCACAGAGGTGCGTGGCACTCCGCTGTGATCCCAGCTACCCGAGTTTGATTCTTGGCCACTGCTAACATGAGTGGCGAGTGATGCGTGGACCGATCCTGGGCACCCCCCCACGCCCCCGACTGACCCGCATGGTGAAGTATGACCAGGCAATTCCCATGACCAACATGGAGTCGGCAAGCCTTTATCCAGCATGGTCGCCCACTTCACGGCGTATTCGCTCTCTCTTCCCACAGACGTTTGCAGAAGTCATCCTGAAGTACGTGACCGAGACGTGCGGCAAGAGCTTTACCTCTGAGATGCGTACGTCTTGGTCGAAGCTGCTGAGTCTGATCATCATCGAGCTGCAGTCGGCCTACTAGGCACCGCTCCACAGTGCCTCCGTTCCACAGCACTGCCTCGGAAGCCTCTTTTAGCCACCCCGAGTGGGGTCTTTACATTACATATTTTGTCACGTTTTCATTTTAAAAAATGGTGCATTCCAGCTCATTTGTATGTGTTGAAATGGTTTTGGAGCAGAACTTGAGCATCGTTGTGGTGATAAATGGTTTATAGGAATAAATAACACTGAAAAATATTAAATGTACACGGTGCCTAATTTACACCCCCCCCATTCCCGCGCCCCCAAAAAACCGACGTGCGCTTCACAATCTACTTGATATACAGGTTTCCATATGTGGGCTGGTGTGTGAGTGTCCGCACCACACTCGTATCACTTGAATGACTCGATCCAAAGTCAGAAAAACGTTGCGTAAACCATGGGCACGCAGCTCAGGGAAGCGGCGCTTGGTTTTTGATGTATCCCAATTCCAGGGATGTGTTGACAACGAGCAATGCCTCCAGTTTAATACCCACCAAAGGCGACAGGTCGGCCACAGATACTCTGCCACTAGTCTACAGGATGGGTAGTGGCAGGTGCACGTTGTGGCAGCGGTAGCAGTGGATGTCTTTCGTGTGGGGTGTCTTTAGGCTCGCATTCGAGGCTGCGCTGTGTACAAAAGCACTGTGGCGATGCCAGTGTTGCCAACTGGGTGATTTTTGTCCGCTACATTTAGCGACTCCTTGGGTGCCTCTCACGACATCTTTTTGTCGAGTCCAGTGACCTGTGACCTTGGAGGACCAATGTCATGCAAGTTGAGTCGCGATTGCAGCTGTGTGCGTTAAGCAACACTCGTCGGGTGTATGGTGTACATTTTGGTAAATTGTTCGTTGAAATTTTGACGACTGTGGAAGATCTACAGAGCGACTTTGTGAGGTTCATTTGGCGACTTTGCAACACTGTGTGTGCGACACTTGGCAATGCCGCGTGTGAATGTGTATGTACACGCGCTCCTTCCGTCGGGCTTGCTCTGATGTCATTTTCTCCCGGCTAGGGTTTGGCTACTTGTAAGATGTATGGATGCCATGAGTGCTCACACTACGTTAAGTAACTTTAGACCACGTTCCGAGTTGTACCAAGTCATACCATCCCGTCACAACTCATTCACCGTGTGGACAAAGTTTGGTTGCGTGCTTTAATTACGTGGTGACAAGTATACCATGTACGTTCCATGCACAGAATGTTAAGGTACTGGGCAACTCTGGTACCTTCTGGAAAACTTTTAAAGAACGAGCTGTAAAAATGTTTAGATTCGTGGCCATGCTCGCAGGACAATTTTAGGGATTTGAGAAACTTAATCGCGTTTTAACAACCGGTGAGATTTAATTGATCCGGCGACCTCTGGATTGTATGTGTTGAACTTCTTTTGCGCCGTACGTAGCCAAAAGTGCTAGTTGGCAGAGCAGGATCGTGAGTCCAGTGTGCGAACCATCACACCGTGGCAAACGTTCCTACAGTTTACCGTATATTACAGTCATAGTATATCAACACTACGGAAGTAAAAGGAGCTGTTATAGCATTATAGAGAGGGAGGGAGAGTGCAAGCGTAGGGGGGTGGACATCAGTTAACCGTGATCCCGATATCCAATCACGTTTGATAATGCCAGGGTGAGGCAATTCATGCACCCCTAGATTACTTTTATAACACCCTCCCTCCGTCACTTACCCTCCCCGGCCTCCTGCTACCCACAAATCTTATGGTCGGTTCCATAAATACAGGGGCTGGTTGCTAAGGTGACGTTAATGTAGATCCATGGGATAGAATTGCCTGGCTGCCACGTGTCGATGCCCACGTGGAGGTGTTGTTGCTATCGTTTGAAAGGAGGCTGTAATTGTGGCCCATTTTTCAAACCTGAATCCACTTTTAAAAGTCCTTTGTTGCTGCCGACTGTTGTAAGAATGCTCTTGGGCAGTGGTTCTTCTTCTTAACCTGGGGTGCACCCTGCACCCCCTGGGGGTGCGAGATATCCCTTTCGGGGGGTGCGAGACATGGCCAGACTGTTTTTTTTCGAAGGTAAATCATCGCACACACAAATTAGGCACGGGCACGTAAGTTCAACTACTCTGCTTCATCAAACCTGTCGATTAACATTTCTTTAACGATTCAGAACCAAAGGGGTGCAAGGCTGCGGTAAAGGTTAAGAAGCACTTCCTCACTTGAGTCTCAACAAAGTGGCCCATGTCCAACTGATGGGCCACTTTGTTGAGCTATCATTTGTGGCCAGGTTGCTTCTGAAAAACAAGTTAATAGCTCGGTGGCTTTTGCCTGTTAGGAAGGGGATGCTTCAGTTTAATTTGTTTTTGAGTGATGTTACCCTTATTTTAGATTTAAGATTACTATATGTTGAATGTATGCACCTTCCTGCCAAAGTAAATTCCTTGTCTGTGCGAACTTTCATGGCGAATAAAACCCTCTCCGATTCTGATTCTCTTGTATTGTTCGTTGTGGTAGCGTTTTAACGTGCCCCCACTGGATATCTGCGACAAAGAGCTTCATTGCTCATCGGATTCTTGCTATATAAGTAAATATTCTGACTCTTAATGTGAACGAAAGATACGAATGCACACGTTTTCTCATTGAAAATATATACATTTAAGAATATCACTGTCCTGGTCACAAAAGCAAAGTTTGTGGGAAATAATAGCCAATTTCTGTACTTTGACGGCATAAGCAATTAGGAAACAACACTACCCAGGAACAAAAAATAAATAAATTTGTTACAGTGTTATTAATGGAGTGGATTATTAACTTTGCTTTGTGTCCTGGTCACAAAAGCAAAGTTTGTGGGGAATAATAACCAATTTCTGTACTTTTGAGGCATAAGCAATTAGGAAATAACACTACCCAGGGACATTATTTTTTACTACACAGTGATCGATCATCTTCTGTAAAGTACGCTGTGTGTGTGTATGTTGAACTTCTTTAATGTATGTTGGACTTCTGTCACGCCACCGTTACGAAGCTAACCGTGCTAATCGGAGGTGCAGGGGGGGGGACACCAACACGAAACACAACAACAAGCAGCAGTCCTAAAGACATTTTGTTTACATTTAGAGGAGCCATGATGAGAATCCAGCTGCGGCATCCGGCCGAGACGCTGCTATTACAATCAACGCGTGGATTGTATTAATTCACGCAGAATGTTCTGCAACTGTCGGTGTAGATAAATCAAAAGGATGCAAACATGTACCCCGTGAGCCAAGGGGGTTGGGCGCTCGCAGCTGGGGTGTGCACGATGGGCAGTGTCGTCCGTGGTTTTCACACCTGGTGATGATTGCTTGTGTTGCAGTCGAAACGTCGTGAGAATTTTCTTGTTTTATATTTTATTATTGTATTGTTTCCCTTCAATGTGACTTTACCGAAAGAACCAAGAATATGAATCCCTGCAGTCACGAAAGCTTTCAATCAAAATTTCAATGCCATCTGTTTCATGGAGCCGCTGTTTGATTTTCACATTCCACGGGGGTTCCGGTTAATTCGGCATTCGTTATTTCTCCAAAAACAATAACCTGGCGGCCTTGCTAGCATATACTCTGTATGCTCTGTATAGGCTAGACACAATGATGCAAAAAAATCATTGATAACATTTGCCATACAGGATCGTACCAATTAGCCATTGGGTCAATGTAACTGAGACATCAAACCGAAGATACCGAATTCCAACCATAGCGCCTTTAGTTGATAGTTATAAAAAATCACATTTGAAAAATGTCCCTATGTACGTGCACTGTTTCATACGCAGTGTCCCCATAATGTGAAAGTGGTAACATAAAGCAAACTAACATTTTTGTTTGTTTTTAAATAAAAATTCAGCTCTATTTTTTATTTTACCAGTGAAGGCCCACTGAGCTGTATAGCTCTTTTTTAGAAGCGACCTGGCTATCACAAATGGTAGCTCAACAAAGTGGCTCTTCATGTGAACATTTATAGCAGCCAAATAGTCTAAACGCATGATTCTAAATATGGAGGGGAAAACCAGAGGACCCGGAGAAATATCCACGCGACCACGGGGAGGACACGCAAACTCCAATTATACAGCAGGCGTCGGGATCAGACCCATGACTTCCTGTATACGAGGCGCGGTAGTCAACTTCTCGCCACCGTGGCGCCCATCGCTCACACTTGGTAAAATTTAAAAGATTGCTTGATTATAATTCATTATCCGAGCAAGAGTGATGTGGGCTTTTAACATCGTTCTCCAAAAAATAAACTGGGATGCTGTCATGGTGTTACCGGTTTGCACACTTTCACTTGCAATCCAGAAGTCGCCGGTCCGATTAAATCTCCCGGCATCGCAGCTGAAATAACCCGGGGCAAGCTTCTTCAACAGCCCCCTCGTTCACGGCCTGTCCACACGGCAGCATGAATGGGTTCACCGCAGTCGATCGGCAGGTCGCATGTGGTGGGGTGAAGTGTGGGTAAATCCTCCCACGTCTCCTAACACAGCTGACCAACTTGCAACAGTGGACAAAACATTCGTGGCCACCAGCAGTGGCATGAGCAAAACATTTCAGGGCCACCTGTGATCCTTTTTAACAAACTAAAATGATCTCATACATACAGACATGTGCATCCGTACACTTGGGAATGGTATCAAGCAGAACGGTACAAAATATAATCGCGCCGCCGTGGCTACACTCCAGCAGGGGGCGGTGTCCATACGTGAGAACGAAAAGAATTCGGACGGCTTCTCGTGTGCCGCGTGCCACAGCCAACGATGCGAGTCACGATGCCTCCCAGGGGGGGCCCCGAGAGCTGGGTTCGATGCTCCATCCACGCGTGTCGCAAACTCTGCGAAATGCAATTCTGAGTTGTGTAACAACCCACTTAGCATCTGTCGGCAGTTGATATCGATAGACTTGTATTGGTTGTTCACGGGTGATTTTTTTTTTATCGCTGCTTCTGCCCTGAGCGAAAGCAGCTCGCATTGCATCCCGAGAAGGACCTTGAGAATCGTTGTAGAACGTCTTGTAATGGATGCGTGTATAGATCTAAAAGTGCATTTTCAAGTTGTATGCGACTCTCATGAGAATAAGATACTAAAATAAGCAATACAAACTCAAACTGTAGGTTTGCTTTTCAGCCCCAAGTGAATGTACCACCAATATTACGCGAACTGTATTCACGATCATCGTTACAATATAATACAATATAAAAGCAGTTGAACGCGTAGGCTTTCGCGACCAATATCATCCACAATACGTGCCAATTCGTTACTAGAACAGCACACCGGTGTGTTGGAGAGCCAAGCCACAACATTTACAATTGAACCTTATGGTGGTAACCCGGGGAACCATAGTATCCCGGCTCTCGCACAATGTCCGTGATGCAGTAATTTTTAGTCTGTTGATGGTCGAGGATGCAGCAATGGACTCATCTCGACGAGCTGTACACGATGCACCACTACGGTGCATGCTGCGAGCGTTCAGGGTTTCAGCACAAACCGAACATCAATCAACGATCTCCTGCTCCGCAGAGCAAAAACGCAACTATATATAAAAGCAAAAACATTAAATATATCTGTAACCAATTAGCAAATTGAAACAACAAACGTATTTCTACACCTGTGGGAGGTTATGCAACTAGCAGCTGGGGGCGCCACGGTGGCTATGAGATGTTAACTACCTCGCCTGGTATATACAGGAGGTGGTGGGTTCCATTCCGATCCTGACGCCTGTATTGTATATTTCGAGTTTGCGTGTCTCCCTATGGTCACGTGGATTTTTCTCCGGGTCCTACGGTGTTATCCCTCCACCTTTAGAGACGTGCGTTTAGAGTATTCAGCTGATGTAAATGTCCACGTGATAAGCCACTTTATTTAGCTATCATATGTGGCCATGTCGCGTCTGAAAAATAACCTTCCAGCTCAGTGGGCCTTTACCTGGTAAAACATTTTTTTGTTATAGCTGAATTTTGATTTAACAACTAACCAAAAAATGTCGGTTTTATTTATGTTACGTTGTGGAGACACTGCGCGTGAAAACAAAACGCATTTTTCTGAACTGGAGTCGTGCGCGACGTGACTCCGGGCGAAGCAGATGTCGCCCGCATGCAGAGTGAGAGACGGACTCCAGACAATGGCACGGGGGGAGACATTTCACGGTGAGTTGGCGCGGTTGAATTTGAGTATATTTAGGGGAGTGCTGCGAGACACGTCCAAACAAACGCCAGAAAGGTGAGCAGGAGAGCGAGACTCTCAGCAGCGTTACGGTGAGGGTGAGGGGCTGAAAGAAGCGACCCAAACTGGAATCGACCCCTGAAGTTGGAAAGAGGGCATGCTTGGAAAGGGGGGGGGGGCACATCATCAGTGTCAAGGGCAGTGACGGTGCACAGAACGTCGCCTGCACAAACGCGAATCGGTGTGGTACTGAGGACATCGGATAATATGACAAAGCTGAAATATTTACGAAAGTATCCAAAATGTTTACCGGACCTTTATCAAACGGTACGCTCGATGCATTCTTCGCAGGTCACTAATTTTAAAAATAGGAAGGACCGCTGGGCGGTCAAGTGGGAGTGTTGGATTAGGTGATAAAATTAAACATAGATAGTTGATTGTCCTCTCATTGCCTCACACTCACAAGGACGGTTCAAAGCGTGGCGATGGCTTAGCTGGCACTGTAACCACGCAATTCGTATGCATCCCATGACTCGCCTGGATTAATTAAAGAGGTACCACGGGTAGGGTTATTCAACCACACTTTGGAAAGTACTTAAAACTGAAAACGCGACCAATATCAGATTTAAACGTTAAACGATCAGGTTGTTTGATCTTAAATATACATTATGTAACATTATAACGACTGATAAACATATGTATACAAGTATGTAATCGACTGAAATAGCATTCAGGCACTTCACAATACAGTACACTATTTGTTAAAATGTTTAAAGTTAAATTTTAAACGTGTTATTGTTGTTGTTATTGTTAGGAGACCTGTCAGCATTTGCTTTGAAAGGCACTCGAGGCCCATGGAGGTACACTGGGAACACCAGGCTCAAGCAAACCCATCACGACGCTTCGGTGCCCCAAGCAGTCCAAGGAGGCTCTGGGTTCATGAAAAAAAAAACACATCATGATGCATCGAATATCAGGCCATATTCAACTACCCAACAAATATAACAAGCTAATTAACATCTACATCCCTCTCTCATCTCACGACACAGATTTATCTCATTTCTTATCTCACTCGTGAGAGATATATCTCACTGGAGATATCTCTCTCTTAAAAATTGTTAACGAGCTTCCCCTCAATCTGCTCAGGGTACCAAATGGGCGAGTAAGGGCATACATAAAATGTGATCCAGCTCAAATTTGAATTCAATTTTGAGCTGTATAATTATATTTGCGGCGTTTTCACCTCTGGCACATTTCTGCAGGTGCAGACTCACTAATCACTCGTGCACAACATTGGTGGACCTGACCCCGACTGTGTCCTTTGAGAACAGTAATGGCGAGAAATGTTCACATATACACAATAAAGAGACGTCTCTTTGATCACTGATTAATGATCGCCATCGGTATTTTGTAGAGCAATTGAGGTTC